ACTATGCCACATACCCACAAGGCTCTGTCTGAGTCGTGTCCTTTCCCTAGTACTCTGTCTGCACAACTTTGCCAGGATCTCACTTCCCCTCTATCATACACGCACAGGGCTCTGGCTCAGAGTTAGAGAGGTTGTCCTGATCACTGTCTTAAAAGGTCAAAGGCCAGGAGACTACCACCACGATGCAATGCTCACCGGCCTCCAGCACTAATTACCATGGTGAAGGGAGAAACAAGGAGTATTCCCGACTCACTGGGAACCATGCCTGGGACAGGGGAAGCCCCGGATAAATGCTATATCTTAACAATAATCACTGTTACCACTAGCATCAAGTATCATGTCCCTCAATCCTAGTCCTTCATTACCCACAACTGGACACACACTTCTCCATTTTAAACATCCGACAAAGGCAGACTTGAGAGTAAATAACCCAGTTTAGACCTCCTCCCTAAGAGGCTGCTTGGTTCCCCACACACACACACAGCACAGCTTTCTCTGCCTGGCCTGTGACCCTGGGCACACAGCCTCCCAGAGAAGAACCTTCCCTCCTTTCCAAATACTGAAATCCCACTCCCCTGGGACGCCACCATGCCCAGGCAGTCGCTTCCTTACCCACACAGCCGATGGTCACCACTCCGTCCTTGTAGTGCTCCCGGGTAGGGCCTGTGGGCTCCATCGCAGAATCAGTCTGCTGCTCCACCAAGACAGCTGGCCCATCATCCTCTTCTTCCTCTTCCCCGGAGCCATTGCCCCAGGTGGCCCCAGCCATATCCCGGGCGATCTTCTCCCGCCAGCTGCTCAGGTCCACTGCTCAGAGAAGGATAAGATGAAAGGAGTTCTCCCCACGGCCACTAGGTATGATGGCACAGTGCATCACAGGACTCATGTGCTTGGCACCCTCTGGGATCCAACAGTGCCAACCTGCACAACTGCTAGCCAGGAAATGAATCCAGCCATCATCTGACTCCTTACTAGGATCATAGAACTCAGTTCCTGGAAAACTACCAGGAAGCCAAAAGGGCTTCTCTCTCTCCGCAGCTTCTGTTCCCCCTACCCAGCCCACCAGTTCCTGACTCCACCCCAACCAGCAAAGTGGCCTCCCCAGTTCACCTGCCAGATGCCTCCACTCACCTTTCCCGGCAGTGATAGCTTCACAGGCTCTCAGCAGCTGCTCCGGGCCCAGAGCCCGCGTCCATCCTCTCCCCCGCCTCCGGTTCTTCTTTAACACTGAGACCACAGGACACCAAAAGGTTAGTGTACTCGGCCAAGCACCTCGCCTCTCGCACCAACCTCAGGCCCGAGTACCCCTGCTGACAAGGCCCACTGTTCTGCCTTCCCCAGTCCCAGCCACCCCACCTCTCCCACATGGTTCTCCTTGCTGCCTACTCACCACTATCAGAGTCCTGTAGGTTGCAGGGATCCCGCGGGAAAGAGGTGAAAAGGACAATGTGGAGCTGGGGGTAGTGTTGATGGAAGTAATGCTTCCAGGCCACCACGAGGGCTGGTGGCGCCAGATCCACCTTGTTCAGGACCAGCACCAGGGCGAGCCCAAGCTCTCCTGTCACGTACTCATAGAGTGCTGGCGGGAAGTTCACCACCTACAACAGGAACGGGAGGGCGTCAGCTCAGCATGCTCAGCCTCTAGCTCCCCACTCACCAAACCGGCACAGCCTGGAGACAAAGCCCTGGCTGGACCAGATTCCAGGGCCAAAACAGTAAAACTGGCCAAAGCGAACACAACACAGCAAGGGTCTAGGTACTGAGGGCAGATGCAAATGACTCAAACACCAGATAGAGAAATAACAATGGCCAGCACCCCGAGGTAAAGGCAGGCATCCGGAATGGGGCTGGGGGTTTTGTGTACAGCTGTGAGCATAAACGCATGTGTATGCACACGTGTGTCTACATGCTAAACGTGTTTTTGTGAACAGGCTGTGTAAATGTGTTTTCATCCATGTTATATGTGCGTGTCATAAGGGACCCTCTCCCCCAACTTAAAAGTCCCCACAGACTTCACCAGAGCCAGAATCCACACAGGGCAGCCCAAAAGCACAGCTCTATAGATCTACAGCCTCTGCCACCACTAGTGTTCCACGTGGGTTCTACAGTGACCCATGTGGCTGGACTAGAGACACTGATACAGAAGAAAAGGCATCTTGGGGCTGGGTGGGAAGACGCGCTCAGCTGCCCACGCCCGCCCAGAGCGCCACGCTGGGATTCTCTGCAGGGCTAGCTCTGGTGGGCTGGGAGTCGGTACACACAGCAGCTCGCCATCAAACCAGCTACAGGAGTGTCAGCTGTCCAGGGGAGGAGCGGGAGACTACGACAGGATAGGAATACAGAACCAGAGCTCCTGCCTGGAGAGGTCGGCGTGGGGTAGGGAAGGCTGGAAGGAAAGAAGGTAACCCCGCTGTCAGCAACCCCTACCTCTAGGAGCACCCCTCCCTCCCCATCCCCCTGCGCTCACTGGATGCCGGATGTCGGTGACAAGCAGGACTATGTCGGACATCTCTAGCACTCGCCACAGCTGCCTCCACGTCTGCAAAGACAAGATTGGTGTGAGCGAGCCTGTGACCTGGGGCCAATGCAACCCTCCGAGGCATCCTGTGGTCCAGGCCCATCCCCTGCCCCATGGTCACCTCCAGATTATGCTCGAAGTAGCTGAGTTTCTCAGAGGTGTACGCCCCATGGATCTTCCCGAGGTACTCCTGGAAGCTCCGCTCCTCCTGGTTCATTAGCTGTTCCTTGGACATCTCATAGTTCCAGGGAGGCCGCCGGGGAAAGTCTAGGACTGGGAAATCACGAAGGCAGAGAACTGAGTAAGTGGAAAAACTTCTGAGGCCCAGTGGACTGCCCCGGCTCCGTCCCCCCGCCAGGGGTCCTGCACTCACTCACCTGAGCCGGGCTGGTAGACCTCCCGGATGTCCAGCTCCAGCAGCTCGGGGCTGACAGGCTGTAGCACTTGCTCCCGGGCCGCCCTCTTCCTCTTCTCCACCTCTTCTCTGCTGTCCCGTTCAAAATGCAGCCGGTACCTAAGGAGATAGGATCCCAGTGTCAGGCCCAATCCAGACCTGACTCCTCCCCTCGAGGCTAGACAACTTGGCAGGGCTTCCTCTCCAGGGATGCTCTGATCTCTCCCAGCCACCCTGGCTCCCCTTTCCCAATATCCAATCTCTATATCCCTATTTCCCTATATCCAATCTCCCCTTCAAACAAACCAAACTTTCCGCAGCCCCTCTGTCAGAGAGGATTGCGGGAGCTCGGAGGTGGAGTGGGGGATGGGGGAGCCAAGCCAGCGGCCTGAGGGGGGAGGGATGGCCAGCAGCCTCCACTTGCACACCTCACCCCGCCCCGCCCCCCCCCCCAGCAGCAGGCTTCTCCCTGGACTTGCAGGCCAGTGGGTAAGCCTGGTCCGGAGTCCCCTCCTGCTCTCACCGATTCGGGTCGTAGCCTCGCGGACCCAGGCCCTGAGAGGGCTGCTGATTGAGCCTGCGGATATGATGGGTCACAGATTCCCCGTCCGAGGTGTCGGTCTGCTCTTCCCGCCGCTCCCGGCTCCCGCTGCGGCTGTTGGAACTGGAGCGCAGCCCATCTTGAAGCCCTGCGGGGAGGGATTGGTGACGCCAGGGCTGGCCGGCCCTCTGGGGCCAGGGGACCCACCTCCCTCCACCCCCAACACCTCATACACACACACATTCCCCAGGAGCGGCCCGGCTCCCCTCGCCCACCCCAACTTCTTCCATGTCTCCTTCCTGCCAGGACCCCTCCGGAGGCGCGTGGTGGGTGGGGGGTGGGACGGAGGCGCTCCTGCAGCAGCAGGGCCTCCCCTCTCCCGCTCCCCAGCCCTCCAGCCTCCCCCACGCCTGCCCGACCTGGGGTCCCCTCGCCGGCCGTCCCCTCTCCGCCCGATGCAGCGGTCACACCCCTCCTCCAGATGTGCTCGGGAGCCCGAACCCCGCCCCCTCCTCCCGCACTGACCTCGCTTCCGTTCGCGCTTGTCCTGTAACTGCTTCTTCTTCTGCTTCACGCTAAACGGTTTCTTCCTCGGCATGGCCCGGGACCCGTCACCCAGCACGTCCTTCCTCGGAGCTCCTGCTGCCTCAACTGACTCCCCGGGCCGCCCCCGCCGAATAAGACCCTGCGAGAGGCGGGGCCGGCCGCTGACGTCACGGCGGGCCGGCCGACCCGCGGCGGCTGCGGGGGGGGCGGACGCGGGAGGCCGAGCTTCCCTCCCGGGGCCGGGGCGGCGGCGGGGACGGGGTGGGGCCGCCGGCACACGCGAGCCCGCCGCTCCACGGGACGCAGCGCCGGCCGAGGCGGAGGCGCGCGTGGGAAGACCGGGCCCGCTTCGTCACGGGCGCTACCAACGGGCGCCCGCCCGAGGGGGGGACGCGGTGTCAGCACCACCTCGCTCTCCGGGGAGAAGCTACCACTCACCTGGAGGGGCGGGGGCGCGGGGCGGGCCCGGCCGCTCGAGGGGGAAAAGGACCCGGCCCCGCCGCGGCTGGACCCGGGCGGCCCCGCCGAGACCCGGCACCCCTGGGGTGAAGCCCGGGGCTGCACTGCGACGGGGAGCGGGGCACGGTCACAGGGTCGTGAGGAGCTGGGTGGGCGGGCTGCAGACTCCCCGCGCGCGAGCGTCTTGGGATCCCGATTTGGATCTGGAGGAGTTAGAACCCAATGTACACATCCCTAAGTGCAAGCGCGGGCGTGCAGGAAAGCCCAGGTGGGACAAGGACTTTTGGAGAGAGGTCAGAGGGCACCAAGTTGTGCCTGCTGCTGTTGCCATGGTAACGGGGGGACCGGATGTGGCGACGTTAGGATGCGACAGCCCCAAAGCCGGTGGGCTCCATGCCACCCCGTGGAGGCGCGGTCGCATGCTTTTCAGTGGCAGAGAGAACACTTGTAGGAAACACAGCCCAGCAAGGCTCAACGTTGCTGGCAGACCTAGCCCAGACGCGGACGGAGGCCTTTCGCGCGAGGATGCAGCCACAGTCACAGCCCCCCGCAGTTCTCCGGAAGTGGAATGGCAGGAGCCCCAGCCTCGCTGCCCCCCAGCGGCCCCCCGGAAACGGAAACGGATTCCCGCGTGCCCCTTCCTCACTGCCCTCCAAATCCTGCTGCAGCCATTGCCGCAGCCACGATGCCGAAACGAAAGAAGCAGAACCAGCAGCAGCCGCCGCCGCCGCCGCTGCAGCCTCCACTGTCGGAGCGGGAAGAGACTGGAGAGGAGGAAGACAGGGGTCGCCTGGGTAAGGGGCCGGCCAGAGCAGCGCAGTCCCGTCCAGGCTCAGGGCTTAGGGACGCAGCAGGTGCGGGGGAGGGGCTGGCCTGCAGGCATAGGGAGGTAGTGAGCCCTCATGCCCTAATCCGGCCCCAAAACCTTTCTGGAAAAGGCGGGGGAGGAAAGACTCAAGGGCGGGAATGCGCAGCCACAGAACGACAAGGGCCAGGGGCCCGACAGGGGGCAGGTTGTGATGACTGGGACAACAACTTAATCAACCTTTGCCTTGGAAGACAGAGGAGCCTGCAGCCTTCTCAGAATATTCCCTGGCGTGGGGAAGGGGGAGAATGCCTACAAAGAGAGACCAGCAGTGAGGTGGCGGTATGCGTTTTCTCTGGACTTAATTACCTGGTATGCTGTGCATAACAGCACTGTGAGGAATAGAGAAAAGTCCCTATCGTTCTTGGGTTCCTGGGTTGACCGAATCCCCACTTTGTTTTCTTTTTTTGCAAAGCCTGAGAAGAGATTTGCAGAGGAAAGGGTAGATGGATGGGATGAGATCTCTGATGATAGGTTTATCTCTGACTTCACCGAGTGGATTAAAGGATTAGCTGTCACAGGAAAATGTCCAAAGACAGGATCATGAGTCCTTCAGCCCATTCTGACGACTGTGTTTACATGTCTGATCCTAGGACCACCCAGCCTTCTGGGCCCGCCCCCCATGGCCAACGGAAAACCTGGTGACCCCAAGTCAGGTGAGGAGGAGGGCACCTGGGTCCTCCTGTAAGGGAGCAAGAGGAGTGCAACCCACAGCCATAATTTAACATTTGAAAATCCAGGATTCTGCAAATATGGAGAAAAGTTGTATTAATCAGACTGGGAAACTCAATACTGTGAGCTTGTCAATTCTCCCCAAATTCATGGATAGAGTCAGTAAATTCCCAGTCAGGAAATAAACATTCTGTGGTCTTAGGTGAAGATGCAAAGGATGAGGGTGAGAGAGAGTCTCTAAGCGAGAGGGCTTGTTCTGTCAGACTTCCTATAAAGCTGTGGTACTTATAACCATGGCTTTGATTAACTAGAACAGACTACAGAGGTGCGTCACAGACTCACATATAATGAAGATTTCAAAAAGCTGACTGAAAAACATGTTTATTTTGAAGATTGCATGTATGTGAGCTCTTCATTTATGATGAAGATAGAACTGAAGGTTGCCTTTTCAATAAAGGATGTTAGATCAATTGAATATTTGTGTGCGGAAAAAAATTGAATTTAACTGGCTTCTCTCACCAGATAAAAATATCAAGTCCAGTTGGTCTGTAGATCTAAGTGTAAAAGGTAAAAGAAAAATTCTGGAAAGTGGTGTCTTTGTAGTCTCAGAGTAGCTAAGGGTTCTTAGGTAAGAAATGCACATACACAGATTATAAGGAAAAGTATAGTATATTTAACTAGGTTAGATGGCAAAAAACTTCTTTTAACCAGAAGATCCCATTAAGATATTAACAGGAAGCCAAAGAGTAGCAGATGATATTTTCAACAAACAACCAATACAGAGCTCATATCTGGAATATATGAAGAATTCTTCCAGATAGTCCATTAGAAAAGTTGGCAGAAGACAGAACAGATACATTTTAAAAATGGAGCTTAAATGGACCAAAACCATGTGAACTCAAGATCATTAGCCATGAAATACAAGATGAAAACATACCTCCTTGAAGTTGGAACTCTTATGCATTATTGATGAGATTGTAAAATGGTATAACTGTTTGTGGAAACTCTTTAAAAAAAAAATAGAACTATCAAGTGATCCCATTTCCATTTAGGGACATATATCTAAAATAATTGAAGGCAGGGTCCTGAGGAGCTATTTGCCCAACCGTGTTTCTAGAATATTCACAATAACCAAGACCATCCAAATGTCCATTGGTAGTTGAATGGATAAATAAAACGTGTATACGTATACATATACACACACACAATGGAATACTATTTAGCCTTTAAGAGGAAGAAAATAGCATTCCATAACTACAACATGAATGAGCTCCAAGGGCATGTTAGGCAGTATAAACCTATCACAAAAAAGAAGTACTGTAGGAGTTAGTTACATGAAGTATCTCAAGTCCAGTTCATAGACAGTAGGTTGGTGGTTACCAGGGGAGGGGAGTGGAAGAAAGGGAATTGTTTAATGGGCATAGGGCTTTAGTTTTGCAAGAGGAAATTCTGGAGGTCCATTGCTTAGCATGAATATACTTAGCCATATTAAACTGTACACTAAAAATAGTTAAGATGGTCAATTTTTTAGATTTATTTTTTCACCACAATAAAACAAATCCCACCACTTTTCACATTGATCAGAATGGTAAAATGAAGAGGAAGGATCCTAGCAAGTGTTGAGACTGTGTGGTAACTACTGGTGGAAGTGTAAATTGGTATAACTGCTTTGAAACAAAGTTTGGCATCATTTGAGCACACATGTACTCAGTGCCTACATATACTCAACAGAAATGCATGCATACGTATGTGTAACAAAGACATGTATAAAAATGTTCATAGCAGCGTTTTTCGTTATAGCCCCAAACTGGAAACCACCCACATGTCCATCATCAGTAGAATGGATAAATCAGTTGTTGTGTATGTATGCAATGGGATACTACACTGCAATGAAAATGAACCAACTGCTACTGGCAACCTGGATGAATCTCACAAATACGATGTTGGCGAAAGAAGCCAGACACAAAAGAATGCAGACTGTATGATTCCAAAGTTCCAAACAGGCAAAAACTAACCTGTGGTGTTAGAAGTCAGGACAGTGGTTCCCGCTGGGAGGGGGGGGATGTGGGGGCCTTTTGAGGTGCTGCTAAGGCTCTATCTCTTCATCTGGGTGGTGGAAATACAGCCCTGTTTACTTGGAGGAAATTGAGTTTTACACTTGTGAGTCTGTGCATCTCTCTGTCTTTATGCTGGACTTGAATAAAAGGGGCGGGGGGGGAGGGGTGCAGGCTTCTGCAGCACAGTGAACCTGCCCACTGATGCCCTTTCTGTGTCTCTCACTCCAGCTCTCCACAGAGGTCCTCCAGGATCAAGGGGACCCATGATTCCACCGCTGCTGAGTCTCCCACCTCCTCCCCGGGGGAGAGGCCCCATGCGGGGAGGCCTTGGCCCCAGGTGTGGTCCATATGGTCGTGGTTGGTGGGGGGTCAACGCTGAACCTCCCTTTCCTGGGCCAGGCCTTGGGGGTCCCTCCAGGGAGAGCTTTCACAAAGAACAGAGAAACCCTCGAAGGCTCAAAAGCTGGTCTCTTATCAAGAACACCTGCCCACCTAAGGATGGCCCCCAGGTTCTAGAAGGTGAGGTCCCCTTTGCTATCTCCCTGCACGTTGAATGCCATTATACCCGGAGCAGCCTCATTCCCAGAATGCCTGTGACTCCTCCTTTGGAACAGCCTTTTTCTCCCAAGAGAGGAGCCATTGTTCTCAGCCAGACACAATGGGGAGTAGGGCACCCGACCTTCTCTGTCTCCTCTGCATGCCGTTCCCTGTGTTTTCCTTTACTCAGATTTTAAACTGCCCAACTTCCCCTTGTTCACAGACAAATCTGACCGCCCCGTCTGCCGGCACTTTTCCAAAAAGGGCCACTGTCGATACGAAGACCTTTGTGCCTTCTACCACCCAGGCGTCAATGGACCTCCTCTGTGAGACTGTGCCTTCCCGTCCGGGTTGGAAGGAGCCCTCTGTGACCTTGTGGCCATGTGTTGCCCTGTGGCCCCATGGCTGCTATCATGGAGCTCTTCCACCCATCCCGTCCACTACCTTTTCCATTTGGGTCCAGAGTGTGTGTCATCACCAGTGTGTGATGTGCGCGCTTTCTTCTGCTCCAGCCTCCAGAGACTGGCCTTCGGGACCCCATCTCTGCTCCCTTCAACTGCCTCCTGGATCTTCTTGCCCCTCGCGAAGTGACTGCTGAACAGGAAACCTCTTTGGTGCTGTTTCTTGTACATCTGTCCACCTGTACCCCAGTATCACCCTCAATCCCTGAGAGCCCGAGAGTGGTTTCCTACCCCCTCTAACTGCTCGTTTTAAGTCCTTATTTTTATTATTATTTTTAATGTGACACCCCCTCAATGTTGTCAGCTGCTCGTGAAACTCACCAGGTCATGTGACCTGGGATCAGGCTCGGGTGCCTGGGTCAGAGACTTTGTTGAAAGGCCATTCTCCCTGCTTCTGGATTCCGTAGTTTCTCTGTCAGTAGCATGATCCCCGCCGCTCTGGTCTGTGATCACTGTGCTTTGTGGAGCTGTGCATCCCCCTTCGTAGCCTCTCAGTGTCCGTGGCATTTTTGTGACTCCTCAACACTTCAGTACATTTTTTTTTCTGCCAAAATGAGTGGAGCCCATGGTGCCCTCTTAACTTGCCCCACCTCCCAACATGGGAGAATTATCTCCTGGTCTGGGTTAGGCTGGGTCTGATGCAGGCCTGGGAGCCGTCTTGTGCAGCCCGTGCTGGGCGGGCCCTCTCCAGCCCACTTTGGTATCACTGGCACTGCAAGGCCACCAGCCCTCACATGAATTCTGTGAATCTCCACCTAGCCTACCTTGGGGTGGAACCTGGACAGTACTGTCACCCTCTTCCAACCCTCTCTGCATCCCTGGCGCTGGTTGTTTTCTGTGAAAACGGCAGTGAACAGGCTCAGTGTTGAACTGGCCCTGTAGGAATGGGTCAGGAGCTGTGCGGGCAAGAGGGAAGGATGAGGGCCCTTGGAGAACTGAGAATGAGTTTTTTTTTTCTTTTTAACTTTTTTTTTAATATATATATTAGTAATAAATGCGGTGGAAACAGACATTTTTCTTAATCCCTGTGTCCCAGTCGTCTCTGGAGACACAGCTGGTGTTCTTGATGCAGTTGATGAATTCATTCTGTATTCAGTTCATACACAGCGGTGATAACAGTGATCCAATTTAGGTTTCTTCCAGCCAAAAAGAACCATTGAGATACAGTGGCCTATTGCTATGTTCAAAAGCAAAGTTTTGTGCTAAAAAAAGGAAAACTCAAGTGTCCATGAGTAATTTTTAAACATGTTACTTATGTTTATTAGTTTGATGTTTATGGAGTAGCAATAGTGGAGCGGTATTTAAATATTTGGGAGCTGCTTGTGGGCCAGGCACTAGAAATGAAATCTGCACATTCATTAAATCGCAGTTTATACCTGTTAAAAGTGTTACAAAGAGGGACATAGCAAGCTGAAGCTGCTTAATAATACTCCCGTATCACAGTGCCTGGGATCAAGTCCTGCTCCCACCTCTTCAGTCCAGCTCCCAAGTAACGTGCCTATGAGGCACTTGAGTAGCTGCCATCTGGATGGAGTCCCTGACTCCCAGTTTTAGCCGGCTTTTTCCCACTCTGCTTTTCACATTTTCAAATGAACACTGAACAGAAATGGAGAAAGGGGTATGTAATCCGCAACAGAGAGCTCTGACTGATACAAGATAGGAAGAGGGGTTTTGAGAGAGTGAAAGCCCTAACTACCTTTAATTGGTATAAACAGATAAAAGCCTGGTAGCTAGATAAAAAGTTTGCTGTTCATGTTAAAACTAGAGACAGAAAACAGGGTATCTGTTTACAGGCTTTGGCTGAAGTCGTGAGCATGGATATATGAGGAGTCTTCAGCAAGTTGAGTGCAAGGCATGTTATGAAAAATGATTTACTTGAAACTTTGAAGTGCCTTCATATTTCTAAACTTCTGCAAGTATGTAAGCACCTACTATGTCCCAACTTATCAAGTTTAATTTACTTATAACAGAAGCCCAAAATTAGTCTTGAACAAGGTAGAAGCTTGCTTCTCTAACAAGGCAAGACATAATCAGTCCAAGCCACATGAGACAGATGGAACCACTAGGTGGTCCTGGTATACCTAGCACCCCAATCAGCATTCGATCCCGAGTTGATAATCAGATTTCCTATTCAGCATACAAAGTGAAGCTGTTGCTTCCTCATCCACATTCAAAGACTCAGTAGGGAGGAAGGGCAGAGGACACAAGCTATATTGGAGGAAATTTCAAGTTCACAAACAGTTCTCCAATTTTTGTTGCCACAGGTTTAAGTTCTGTAACCAATATCTGGCTCTTTGCAGAAGTGCTCTTGGTTCAGAAAGCTGTGTGCTGAACAAAATATGGAATACTTTCAGAAGAGCACAACTTTGTAGCATAAACAGCCCCTACCGTCTACTCAATGCTAAGATCTGGGATTGTAATACACAATGGGAATTGCCAATGTCCTGCAAAGAGCAGGAATGCACCTACAGTCATGGTGTGCATTCTACAGAAGCTTGAGATGAGGAATGGGGGCCAAAGCTCTGACCCCATGGGTTAAACTTCCTGCAATGTCAGTATCCCATATGGACACTGGTTCTACTACACTTTAAGCTAATGTGCCTGGGGAAGCAGCCAAAGATGGACCTAGTCCTTGGCCCCTGCACTCACATGGAAGACTTGGGTGAAACTCATGGCTCCCAGCTATTCCTGCTCTCTTGATGAACTTTAACTTGGTCTATATTTGCATTATGTCTTCTGCTAGACTATAAACAGATCTCTTATTCAGCATCCCGAGAGGCTAGAAGAGTGGCACATGCTGTGCACCCAGTATATGCGTGTGTTTAATCGTGCCATCGGTGACTTTTTTTTTTTAAGATTTATTTACTTGAAAAACAGAATTACAGAGAGAGACCTATTTGCTAGTCCACTCCCAAAATGGCTGCAACAGCCAGAACTGGCCCAGTGCAAAGTCAGGAGCCAGGAGCGCCTTCCAGATCTCCATGAGGGTGCAGGCAGGCCAGGGCTTGTACCACCCTCCACTGCTTACTCAGGCACAGCAGCAGCAAGCTGGATTGGAAATAAAGTAACCTGAAAGCAGCAGCTTTTCCCTCTATACCACAAGGCTCGTACCAGCATTCCTATTTAAAAAAATACATATATTTATTTGGAAGGGAGAATAATGGAAAGTTGGAAAGAGAACTTCTACATGGTAGTTCACTGTCCAAATGGCCACAAAAGCCAGCTCTGGGATCAGAGTAAAAACAGACATCACAGATGCTATCCTGGTCTCCTGTGGGGATGCAGGGGCCCCATGACTTGGACTGCCTTCCCAAGGGAAGCCAGATGGGAAACAGAGCGACAGCATTCTGGCGTGGGATGCTGGAGCTGCATGTGACAGTGCACTGTCATTTGTTGACTGAAGGAGGCAGCCATGGCTTGCTGCTGAGTTGGTTAGGCAATTGGGAATGGAGAAAGAATGACTCCAGTTTTGCCCAAAGAAACTGGATGAAATGTGGTTTTTTTGGTTTGTTTTTTTGACACGAGGAAGCCTGTAAGAGGCACAGAGTTGAAGAGTAAATGTTTTTTCCACATATATATTAGTGGTATTTAATATTTACTAGAGATCTCAGAAAAGATGTTCAGCTAATAATAGGATTTGTGAGCTGGAAGCTAAGGGTATGAGTTGGAGCCAAAAACAACATTTGGGAATGTTCATTGGTTGTAGATAATACCTAAAGTTATGAGGCATGGGTGATAAGAATAAGATTAATTCCTGAGACACTTCGACTTTTTTTTTTTAAATCATTCATTTCAGCATGTAGACCTCAGGAGGTGAAGCCAGCAAAGGAGAAAAGAGAACAGCTGGTAAGGTGGAAGAGGACAGTGTCCCCGAGGAAATCAAAGGTGGGTGTGACCAACTGAATCGGACGCCGCTGGGTCAGTAGGTAGGGTGAGCTCGGAGAACCGGCCCCCCAAGCTGCTGACCTTGGCAAGAGTGAATTCAGGCCCTGGTGAGCACAAAAGCATGGTTATAGTGGTTTACAGAGAGAAGGGAAGTGCGCTGCTCAAGCTCCCACACCTATTATTCACTGGTGGATTTGGAAGTGACCCAAATCTTGATTGCAGTAATGGCTTAAGGGATGTATGCCTGTCAAAACCTATCAAATTGTTTTATTATTATTATTATTATTGGAAAGGCGGATATACAGAGAGGAGAGACAGAGAGAAAGATCTTCCATCCGATGATTCACTCCCCAAGTGAGCGCAATGGCTGATGCTATGCCAATCCGAAGCCAGGAGCCTCTTCCGGGTCTCCCACGCGGGTGCAGGGTCCCAAAGCTTTGGGCTGTCCCCAACTGCCTTCCCGGGCCACAGGCAGGGAGCTGGATGGGAAGCGGGGCTGCTGGGATAGAACCGGCGTCCAAATGGGATCCCGGGCGTGCAAGGCGAGGACCTTAACCACTTGCGCTACCGCGCCGGGCCCAAAACCTATCAAATTGGACACTTGTCACTCCATTGTCCATTATATTTCAGAACACTGATAGCAAAACGCCTATAAAAGGAGAAAATAGTAAATCCAAGCTCCACTGTGCCATGATTTCCACTTGTACGACTAGAGTTCTTCATTTACAGCTGTATACTGAAGGATTCTGCGCCACAGACTGCGCTTGACTGACAAAGCAGCTTCTTCAATTGGTCTCTTCTGCCCCTAACCGGACCTAAGGAGTCTGTAGGAAGTAGCAAACACTTGAAACTATATAAATATTATATAATATGTATTATATAATACACAATATATACATTTCAACATTTTCACGCTAGTCATAAAGTGATATTCCTTATTCTCACGGCGTCACAGAGTCACTATCAAGTCAGGCTCACTGAAATGTCAATGTCATAAAACGCCAGGGCAGCAGGTGGACTGCGCTCCGCCCCGCCCCGCCGGGACAAGCCACGCCCCTAGCCGCTCAGGCCACGCCCCTTGGAGGCGGTGCGAACGCACGTGGGGCCGCTGGGGGTGGGGGCGGTGTCCCCGGCGCACAGAGCCCGCCTCCCTTCATGCCGCCGGAAGCGGAAATAGGCCGGACGCCGCCTGAGAGTACGCGTAACTGCCACCGCGATGCCGAAGGGGCCCAAGCAGCAGCCGCCGGAACCCGAGTGGATCGGGGACGGAGAGAGCACGAGCCCCGCAGGTGAGGCCGATGGGTGAGGAGAAGACGGGAGTTAAGTCCTCCAGCGAGATGAGAAGGCGCGTGTGTCAGGACAGGGGCACCGGCGCGTGCGGGGCTCACTGCGCATGTGTGCTCTGGGCGACCGGCGAGGTTGTGGGGTGTCGCCGGCGAGCTGAGGGGGGGACGGGGCGGGAGACGCCGAGCAGCGTGTGGAAAGCAGGGGAAATGAGACATTCCCTCCCCCCCGTGCGCGTCACCCGCCGCGCGATCTCCCAGCAGGTCCGGACACCCTGCCTCGACCTCCCCGCCCGCCCTCCCCCGTGCGGACCAGAACCCCGAGACACCCCCTGTGTCCCACTGGAAGAATAATATGGGTTTAGGGTGTTAGCACATGGGTTCAGACTAACCTAAAAAGCAGCGAGCGTTGCTGGACACGTTTCAGATTTTCTTTGAAAGGCAGAGCCAGAAATCTTCCATCCTCCACGTGGGGGAAACAGCAGGAGCCGGGCCAGGAGGAAGCCAGGAGGGCCTGGGTTAGACTGCACTCTGTGTTAGTAATGTGCTTTGGGAGGGGAAGGGAAAACCTAAGGGGACATCAGTGGATACAAATAACCACAGCGGGTCCACAGTGACTAATTGTACAAGCATTTATTGGACACCTGTGATATACCAAGTATGTGCTGAGGTACTGGGGAAGTAAAGACAAAAGGTAAACCTTCTCCCCACGGGCACACAGGTCTGGTGGAGGAGACGCTGGTTGACAGAGTGGGATGTAGAGTCCCGCAGATGGATAAGGTGGCAATTCCAACAGTGACTCCTATCAGTAAGGACTAGCTGGGTTCATCATGGGGGTTGGTGTGAAACAGCCCGGCGAAGAAAGCTCCATGCTGGACGTTTGTGTGGAAGTAAAGCCCATGGTTAACTGGCTGCCTCCCACTAGAACTAGGCGGCTGAGGTGATGGAGCTAGAAGGGCGTGCAGGAGAGAGGGAACAGGCTTTAGTATGCTGTTGTAAGGGGTTTGGTCCTAACAACCGCACTGGGTAACACTGAGCAGTAGAGAGCGGACCTTGTATTAGAGAAGTGAACCCAAGGAAACGCCGGGAAGCTCCAGGTGAGGCAAGGCTAGGGTGGAAAGCAAAGCAGTCAGAACTGAAGAGTTACTAAGGAAATGGCCTGGGCCAGGACCGGGTGTTGATGGCATGAAGGGAGAAGAGTGGAGGCTGACACTATAACAACCTAGGGGTTATATAGATGGGTGGTGGTGATGGACTAGGGGGTGAAGGGTGGGAAGAGATAAGGTCTGCTTTTGAGTGCTAGGAACAGTTGTGTTTTGCCAAGAACAGTTGGCAAAGAGACTCACTGGTGACAGAGAGAGACCCCAAGTGCAGAAACAGATGAGCAGAGCTGGAGCATCAGGTGGGGAAGAGTCCTCGACCACGTGTGTGCCAGTGGCAGGACAAGAAGACGCTACTATGGGTGGCAGGAACAGTGAAGAATCTTGCTAATTAATGCAAGAAAGGGAGAGAGGCTGAGGTGGTCAGGCTGAGAAAGGTGAACAGCCAGGGAAACCAGGAGCAAGCAGGAGCCCGAAGTTAAGCAGCAGGAGTGTGGGCCAGGGTTGTGGCATGGCTGGTCATTGCACTACCTGCAATGCCAGCATCCCTTACAGGTCCCAGTTCAAATTCTGGCTGCTCCACTTTAGCTCCCTGCACATGTGCTTGAGGAGATGGCAGATGCCTGCATGCTTTGGTCTCTGCCACCCACTTGAGTGGCGCAGATGGAGTTGCATGCTCCTGGCTGGAGAACGATCCAGTCCCAGCGCTTGAGGCCACTTGGGCGGTGTGCCAGTGGAACCAAGCTCTCGCTCGTCTCCTTCATCTCTCTCTTCTTCTTTCTATAATGCTGCTTTTTCAAATAATAAGTAAATAAATATTTATTTTAAACTTTTGTAAACTGACCACCTAACAGGTCAGTTACAATGTTGACAAAAGTAATTTTCATTAGGAGGTGATACTCAGATCAGATTGCAGGATGTTTAGAAGGAGTGATAGACTAGCCTCGGCCTAGTGGTTAGGGTACCAGTACCACACTTGGTGCGCCTGGGGCACCAGCTCTGGCCCGATTCCTGCTCCCTGCTAATGTGGGTTCTGGGGAGGCTGTTATGATGCCTTGGTGATTGAATTCCTGACACCAGTGTGTGGAGGGTACAGTTCCTGGCCTGAAGCAGTCAGAACAGGAAGCAGGAGAGGAAGGCTGGGGCCCTGATGATCTGTGAAACCCTAAGTTACAGGGCTTCTCCAGGTTTGGGGCAAAGTAGCTGCTCAGTAAAGCTATGCTGAATAAGCTGTGTTGGATTCCAATTTCAGAATATTTAGGCTTGGTGAAGCAGAGAGCTGGAAGCCACAGTTACTTTCAGAAGCAAATGCTTCCAGGAAAGCCTTTGGCTAAAATTGGACAGCAGTGGATGACTGTCATGGTTTGATAAGGAGGTGATATTGAATAGGCCTGGGTGTGAGGAGTCATGAGGCTACTTGGCTGCTTCTGGTTTGATGGTGGAAGAGGGGGAACAGGTTAGACACAGCCCTGCCTTTAGGGAGACAAGGGCAGGCTGGGGGAAGGAGGAAAGGAGCTGAAATCTGTCTGGTCAGGGAACATTGATTGACTTCCTGCTTGGAGTGTAAGAGAAATAATCTCCCCAGGTCACTGTCTAGGATGAAAGACTGCCACACCAGAATACAGCCGGTCTCTAGTGACTGTGCGTTACACATTTGTAAATTCAACCAACCATTGATTGAAAATATTCATGGGAAAAAATCCTATGTGTAGTGCTTGTGTGCAGGCTTTTTGTTGCAGTTAGTCCCTAAAAAACACAATGTGGCAGTTACTAACACATTGTATTAGCACTTTAGATACTCCAGAGGAGACTTCAGGTATATGGGAGAATGTGCCTCATTTTAGGTAAATACCATGCCATGCGGTTTGCTAGGCCTTGAACATCCCAGGGCGCTGAGCAGGGATGGTGAGACCTAGTGCGAGAATGTGACCAGTCCTTCCCTCGCAAAGCTCCGGGTTCCTAAATGGGCACCGATTCATGTCCCACTGCCCCACTTCCCATCCAGCCCCCTGCTTGTGGCCTGGGAAAGCAGCAGAGGACGGCCCAAAGCCTTGGGAGCCTGCACCCATATGAGAGATCTGGAGGAAGCTGCTGGCTCCAAATCAGTTCTGTTCCAGCTGTTGAGGCCATTTGGAGAGTGAACTAGTGGATGGAAGAGATTTCTGTCTTTCCTCTCTGTAAATCTGATCTGCCTTTCCAAAAAAAAAATTTTTTTTTTAATTTAAACAGAAAATGTGGGTAGGTAGAGACCAGCTGTTCATTTACTTACTGGACAGTGCCATGTGGCCTGCAACATATCCCAAACCAAATTTGTAATGTCTTCTTCTTACCCTTACCCCCATAGGTGGACAAGGAGGGACTTTTTCTTGCATTATTTCATAAGTTAATATATGGTGCCCCTAACTTGCCAACTGGAAACCTCAGGAAGTATCTTTGAATGTGCAGGCTTATTTGTTAGCCTTCTCACCCTGTGGATCTTACTCCAGTCACTCAGCTTGTCATCACTCTGGGCAAAGCCGCTGTTGGAAGCCTCCCTTGGTGGCTCCAGCCAATTTCCTGCTTTATTTTGCTCTTCCCCTCCTTTCTGTATTCTGAAGTCAGAATGAGACTCAGGGTGTGAAAGTGCTTGTTAGCCAGGAAGGCCCTTCCTCCAGTCTACCTGGCCCTCTCATGTTTCTATCACTGAGCTTCAGCCACGCTCACACTTCCCCTGTGCCTCAGTAGATTTGCCTTTGTGCCTCACCTGTGCACCGCCCTGGAACCCTGCTTTGTACTCAGAACTTCTCATCCTTTGGATGTTAGGGTGCCATCTCCACAGGGAGGCCAGTGCCAGAGATGACATCAGTGACATGGGTGAATGAATGGAGTGAGGGGAGACGATTTCTGCAGGAGTTGCAGGACAGCGAGAATGTCTAGGGATTGGAGGAATAGTGTGAGGAATCCTGGGTGCTCTGTAGGGGAGGTGGGGCTGCATTGGAATTTGTTGATGAACATTTATAAGATCTGCTTAACCTTCCAGAGAAAGTGGTGAAGAAGGGAAAGAAGGACAAGAAGACGAAAAAGACGGTGAGAAAATAAAAATGAGCTTGAGCAGTGAGGGGGGCTATGTCCACTTGACACAGACAGCTGTGGGAGGTGGGGTCTACAGAAGGGAGCAAAGCTTTTGTCCAGAGAGGAGATAGAATGAGAGGCTTGTGAGCAGCGGAGAGGGCTCGGTTGACCCTGGCGCCAGGCTTACCCCCTTCTCAACCCTTTCTAGTTCTTTGAAGAACTGGCAGTAGAAGATAAACAGGCTGGGGAAGAGGAGAAAGTGCTCAAGGAGAGGGAGAAGGAGCAGCAGCAGCAACAACAGCAGCAGCAGGTACAGGTGACTTGGCGTCCCCAGCCCTGGGTCCAGCAGCCCCTCCGCAGGCCACATCGGTTCTCTGCGGATCAGACCTACAGCAGCAGGTGGGCTCAGTTCTTTCACTCTGTCTTACATCAGCAGCAGAAAAAGAAGCGAGACACCCGAAAAGGCCGGCGGAAGAAGGATGTGGATGACGATGGAGAGGAGAAGGAGATCCTGGAACGTCTCAAGAAACTCTCAGTGCCCGCTAGTGACGAGGAGGATGAGGGTAGGTGACCAGCGGGCACAGGAGTGTGCCTCAGGCCCTGGCTTGGAGTGGGAGTCGATGGAGGCAACACATGTCGTGATTCTATGTCCCCTTGTCATTTCAGTTCCAGCCCCGGTGCCCCGAGGTGGGAAGAAGGCCAAGGTGAGTCATCAGTGCGGGGAGCAGAGCCCCCGTGCGCGGCTGTGCCTCCCCCACTGACTGGCCCTGTCGTCCCCCAGGGTGGGAATGTTTTCGCAGCCCTGATTCAGGATCAAAGTGAGGATGAGCAGGAGGAAGAAAAACGCCCTTCCAAGCCTGCCAAGCCAGAGAAGAATCAGATCAACAAGGTGAGGGGCGTGAGCCAGCCCGTGACTCCCTCCCCGGTTAGCATCAGCTGGTCATATTGGAGACATTTGCAGCTTTCACATTAGCTCTGCTCAGTCTGTTTGGTTTGAGCTGTCTTAGTCATCTTTTCAGAATGCTCCCATCACTCGGATATCTGCAGTGATTCTCTTGCAGCGATAGGGACCCTTTCTTCTGCTAAGGACCAATTGGTTATTGGTAGCATCATCCACAGGCCTTACAAAAGAATCAGCTTAAACATCAGCCTTCTGTGTGCTTGGTGAATTTTGAGTCTTGCCTGCAGTTTCCTTGGCAGGGTCACACCAAGCACTTTCATAGGCCTTTGTCCCCATTCCTGTTCTGTTGCTTTAAACTCAGAATCTGAGATAATTGTCCTCAGATCCTTGCCCTTCCTCTTGGAACACCACTGTGGGTTGCTGTTAGATGAGCGTTTAGCTCATCAGCACGTCCGTGTTGCAGCTTTGTCTTCATGCTGCTGCTTTCCCTTCCCTTGGGCACCTCATCCTGCCCTGCACATCTCAGGAACCACTGTCCTACCCCGTCACAGGCTGCCTCAGCTGTCCCTTACCACTGTCAGTATTCCCTAGTGCTCCCGAGAAGCTGGGATGGTGGGTTCTTCTGTATCTTGTTTCTCCACAGCAGAAACAAGATACAGTATGCGTCCCTCTGAACACAGTCGACTCCCCAGATACTTGTTCTTCAATTTATTTTTTTTTATTTGAAAGGCAGAGCAACAGGGAAGGAGGGACGGACCTTCCATCCACTGGTTCATTGCTAAGTGGCTGTATCACTGCAACAGCCAGGAGCCAGGATCTCCATCCAGAGATTTTACAGAGAGATCTTTCATCTGCTGATTCATTCCCCAGACAGCCATAGCAGCCAGAGCTGAGTTGATCTGAAGCCAGGAGCCAGGAGCTTCCATCTAGTCTCCCACATAGATGCAGGGAGTTGGGTCCTCTTCAACTGCTTTCCCAGGCCATAAGAAGTAGAGCTGCGGGCCCAGCACAGTAGCCTAGTGGCAAAAGTCCTCGCCTTGCACATACTGGGATCCCATATAGGTACCAGTTCATGTTCCAGCTGCTCCACTTCCCTTCCAGTTCCCTATTGTGGCCTGGGAAAACAGTAGAGGATGGCCCAAGGACTTGGGACCCTGCACCTGCATGGGAGACCCCGAAGAAGCTCCTGGCTCCTGGTTTCAGTCTCAGCACAGGCTGTTGTGGCTACTTGGGGAATGAATCAACGATATAAGATCTGCTTCTCTGTCTCTCCTTCTCTTTGTAAATCTGACTTTACAATAAAAATAATAAATCTTTTTTTTAAAAAAAAATTGAGTAGCTGAGACACAAACCTGTGTCCTTATGGGATGCCAATGCTTGCAGGCAGAGGATTAGCTTGCTATACCACAACCCCTAGAATGTTGTTTTTTTGTTTTTGGTTTTTTTAAAGATTTATTTACTTTTTACTTGGGAGAGTTAGAAGAGGAGTCAGCTCTTTCTTTTTCTTTGGGGGAGTGGGGGAGTCAGCTCTTTCATCCACTGGTTCACTTCCAGGTGGTTGCAATGGTGAGAGTTGGTCTGTTTGAAGCCAGGAGCCAGAAGCTTCTTCAGTGTCTCCCACATGAGTGTAAGGGCCCAAAAACTTAAGCCATCCTCTGCCACTTTTCCAGGCTATTAGCAAGGAGGTGGATCAGAAGTGGAGCAGCCAGGAATCGAACTGGCTCTCATGCGGGATGGTGGCTCTGCAGATGGAAAATTAGCCTGCCATGCCATCACCCCCGTGGAGCTTTTCTTAAGCAGTAAAGTTTTGTGTGTGTGTGTCTCCACCAGGCTGTGTCTGAGGAGCAGCAGCCTGGGCTCAAGGGTAAAAGAAGAAAGGAAGAAAAATCAAAGGGGAAAGCAAAGGTGAGAGTAACTGGCACGTGGCGCCAGGGCGCAGCAAGTAGAGCGTTTTGTGAGAACTGTGTTTTCCCTCTTAGCCTCAAAATAAATTTGCTGCTCTGGAAAATGGAGAGGAAGAGGAAGAAGAAAAAGAAGTAACAAAAGAAAAGGAGCCCCCCAAGCAAGGGAAGGAGAGGGCCAAGAAGGCGGAGCAGGTGTGTGGGGTGCTGGGAGGAGGGGTCTCTGCCTCTGTGCCCTCTCCATGAGTCGCATCCCGGGACGTTGTTGCTGTGCAGTAATGAGGAGTTGGCAAACATTTTTTTAAAGAGTTATTATTTATTTGAAAAGCAGAGGGACAGATCGAGCCAGCGTCTGTTTACTGATTCACTTGCCATATGTTTGCAATAGCCAGCGCTGAGCCAGGCCAAACCCAGGACCTCCAGCCGGGTATCCCACGGGTATTTGACCCATTCTCTGCTGCCTGCCAAGCGTGTTAGCTGAAAGCTGCACCAGAAGCAGGACGTGATTCCAGGCACTCTGCAGGAGATGCAAGCCTCCCAGGCAGCTGCTGACCTTGCTGCCCAGTGAACTTCCGGTGTAGGGCTTTGGAGTAATAGCCTTGGCTTTACAGGCCACATGCAATCCATGCTGTGTGTCTTTTTTCTTTTAAACAGCTCTTCTAAAATATGAAACCATTTTTAGCTCAGAGCCATACAAAAAAAGGCATCAAGTCCAATTTGGACCAGGGACTGGTTTGCATTACCTATTCCAGAGAAGAGAGGGCTGCAGGGTTATTTTCCAGCAGTCTAGGTTCCAGCTCTGCATTCATTGGCTCCGTGACCTTAAATTTGTCTTGGCACACCCTTGGCAGAAGCTGGTCTCTTCTCCCGGATGAAAGGGAGGCCTGTGCTCTCCAGGGTGCCTGGGCCTCCTGCATTCTCATCTGTGACCCTGCCTGGCTCCCTGCCTGGCTGTTGTTAGGGCTACCTGATCCTTCCTTGGCTTGTTAGCCTGTCAGCCACAGGCGCTCACTAGGCACGGAGGGAACTCTTTCCCAGCAGCCTGATTTCCATCATCTCCAGGTGCACCTATCATTCTGCACTGAGACTTTGCATGTGTGTGTCCTGGCACCACTCGTGGTGTCATTCCTGTGGCAGAGGTTGATGGAGGGCTGCGTGTGTGAGGAGGATCCCAAGGTCAACCTCCCCAGACTGGGTGGAAACAGAGTGTGCTGGCTATTGGCCTGGGGTGGAATACGAAATCTGAGTTTTGGCAGGTATCTCTAGATTTTCATTCGCACCTGTGGTTCTGCAGGATTCAGAGGAAGAAGGCGAGGAAGAGGAAGAAGAGGGAGAGTCTAAAGCCGACGATCCCTATGCTCACCTCAGCAAAAAGGAGAAGAAGAAGCTCAAGAAGCAGGTGGGGCTCGGTCGCCAGAGCCACAATGGGGGCTTTGGGGCGGCTGGAGTGAGGCGGGCAAAGGGAGAGGCTTCTCTCCATCAGTCCCGGTGACACACACGGGCTGTGTCCTGGTGACGGGATGCTGGCCGTTCATGGCCTCAAGTGAAGTATGGTTTTCCTTCCTTCTCAGCTGGAGTATGAGCGCCAGGTGGCTTCTCTGAAAGCAGCCAATGCTGCCGAAAATGACTTCTCTGTGTCCCAGGCAGAGGTGTCCTCCCGACAGGCCATGTTAGAAAATGCCTCTGACATCAAGGTGAAGTCCAGGGGTGGACCCCTGCTGGATGTGGTGGGCAGGGTGGACCGACCCTGGGATGGGTGTTCTAGAGGCTTCCCTGCTGGGGAGGCTTGCCGCCCCGGCCCCACAGGGCGGATTCTTACAGGCTCACCCCCTCCCTCTGTCCCCACTCCCTAATGCCCACAGCTGGAGAAGTTCAGCATCTCTGCCCATGGCAAGGAACTGTTTGTCAATGCAGACTTGTACATCGTAGCTGGCCGGCGCTATGGGCTGGTGGGCCCCAATGGGTAAGGAAAGGAGGGAGTGGGGCTGGAGGGAAAAGAAAGGTTATGTGGTGCCAGGTCCTAATAGCTGTCACTCTCCAGCAAGGGCAAGACCACCCTCCTCAAGCACATCGCCAACCGAGCCCTAAGCATCCCTCCCAACATCGACGTGTTGCTGTGTGAGCAAGGTAAGGCTGGTGTGCATGTGGGCATGCGTGTGGTGGATGGTTGAGTAGAAGAGCCAGCCAGGCACCACTGTGGGAGTGGAATGGCAATGGAGGTGAGGGAAGCCCAGGGTGGGGAAAGGACTGGGTGAGGCAGGTGTTTGACCAAGCAGTTAGTGAACACAATCAGAGTATTTGGATTTAATATCTGCCCCTGGCTCTTGGCCTCAGCTTCCTGGTAATGCAGACCCCAGAAGGCAGCAGGGATGATTCAAGTAATTGGGTTCCTGCCACACGTAAACGTGGATTGATTTTCCATTCCCAGCTGCAATGCCCAGCCTGAGTCTGGTAGGGTCGTTGTGGCCATTTGGGGAGAGAACCCACGGATGGGAGCACTCTCTTCCCAACTTGCCTGCTTCTCCCGCTCCCCACTGCCCGCATTGCAAATAAAGTAGTTAAAAATTTCTTTTTAAAAAGGCAAGGGAGGGGCCGGCACTGTGGCATAATAAATGAGCTGCCACCTACAGTGCCTGTGTCCTGTATAGGCACCAGGTTGGGTTTCAGCTGATTCAGCTGGGTCCACTTCTCATCCAGCTCCCTGTTAACATGCCTGGTAAAGCAACAAAGAATGCTCCATCTGCTTGGGCCCCTGTGCCCACGTGGGAGACTCGGAAGACACTCAGGTTCCTGGCTTAGGCCTGGCACAGGCCCAGCTGTTGCAGCCATTTTGGGAGACAACCAGTAGAGGGAATTCTCTGTCTCTCCTCCTCAGTAACTTTGCCTTTCAAGGAAATAAAATATTTTTTAAAGATTTATTTTTTTATTATTTTTTCATTGGAAAGGCGGATATACAGAGAGGAGAGACAGAGAGGAAGATCTTCCGTCCGATGATTCACTCCCCAAGTGAGCGTAACGGGCCGATACTATGCCGATCCGAAGCCAGGAGCCTCTTCGGGGTCTCCCACGCGGGTGCAGGTTCCCAAAGCTTTGGGCTGTCCTCGACTGCTTTCCCGGGCCACAGGCAGGGAGCTGGCAGGGAAGCGGGGCTGCCGGGATTAGAACCAGCGCCCATATGGGATCCCGGGCGTGCAAGGCGAGGACCTTTAACCACTTGCGCCACCGCGCCGGGCCCAGGAAATAAAATATTTTTTAAAAATGACAGGAGGGTTGAGTCAATGAGAGACTTGAGACTATTTTATTTGGAATAAGTGCAAAGAGATGGGCAGGATCAGACCAACCAGAACAGAACTGAAGGGAGGAAAGCCTACATCCCCAGGCCCATGGGGTGACCTGCCGGCCCCCCTTGCCCTGCAGAGGTGGTGGCAGATGAGACCCCAGCCGTGCAGGCTGTCCTTCGAGCTGACACCAAGCGGCTGAAGCTGTTGGAAGAGGAGCGCCGGCTACAAGGGCGCCTGGAGCAAGGGGATGACACGGCCGCCGAGATGCTGGAGAAGGTAGAGGAGGTGGCGCGGGGACCCAGGCCTGAGCCGAGGGTGTCCCTGGCCCTCAGACGTGCCCCATTTCCTGCTCCTCCAGGTATATGAGGAATTGCGGGCTACTGGGGCAGCAGCTGCAGAGGCCAAAGCACGGCGGATTCTGGCTGGTCTGGGCTTTGACCCTGAAATGCAGAACCGGCCCACCCAGAAGTTCTCAGGGGGCTGGCGTATGCGTGTCTCCCTGGCCAGGTAGGGAGCCCTGCCCTGCCACGCCCACGTCCGTCATTCAGCTGCAGACCACCAGGGTCCTTACCCTTCGCACCTACCCAAGGCCAGTTCAAGGCCATGTTGCCACCTTTCGCTGTCTACCTTATAAGAAGTGGGTTTTTCTCCATTCTCGCCCTACCTCGAGGGGAGGTGTTCTTCCCAGTTTCTTCTGGGGAGAGCTGGGGAAGAGGTATTCAAGTTCTCAGGCTCCTCTTCATGAGGATCTGCCTCCCCATTGACCTTGATCCTGTGCTCTGTTGATCCTTGCCCTAGGGCACTGTTCATGGAGCCCACGCTGCTAATGTTGGACGAGCCCACTAACCACCTGGACCTCAACGCTGTCATCTGGCTCAATAAGTACGTTGTTCCTGGCACCCTGTGCTCACCCCATCTCTCCCTCCCTGACTGTGCTGACGACTTAGCTCTGCCAGCCAGCCCTCTTCCTCCCTGTCCTCCCTCCTCCTCCCTGCCAGCCAGCCCTCCTTCTCCTTGTTCAGCCAGCCCTCCTCCTCCCTGCTTGCCCCTGCATCTCTGTTTCCCTGACCTTTCCACATTCTTTAAAACAGCTACCTCCAGGGCTGGCGGAAGACACTGCTGATCGTCTCCCACGACCAGGGCTTCCTGGATGATGTGTGCACTGACATCATCCATCTAGATGCCCAGCGGCTCCATTACTACAGGGGCAACTACAGTGAGTAGAATTGTTGGTGAGGGAAGAACGAGCCCCAGGGAGAGGCTTGGAAAGTGGGGCCCAGAGCAGGGACATGCTGCAGAAGTGTGGGTGCTGGTGCCCTGCCCCTCCTCACCAGTCCCTGCTCCTTGTGTGGGGGAACAGGTGACTGCTGACACTGTGCCCCTTTTCTGCTCAGTGACCTTTAAGAAGATGTACCAGCAGAAGCAGAAGGAGCTGCTGAAGCAGTATGAGAAGCAGGAGAAGAAGCTGAAGGAGCTGAAGGCGGGCGGCAAGTCCACCAAGCAGGCGGTGCGCACACACCCCCCCGGGGGCGCCCCAGGGCCGAGCTGTGAGCTCTGCCGGGCAGCGTGCAGATGTGCCCCTTCTTCCTTCCTCTGCAGGAAAAGCAAACTAAAGAAGCCCTGACTCGAAAGCAGCAGAAGTGCCGACGGAAAAACCAGGATGAGGAGTCGCAAGAGGCCCCCGAGCTCCTGAAGCGCCCCAGGGAGTACACTGTGCGCTTCACGTTCCCAAACCCCCCGCCCCTCAGCCCGCCTGTGCTGGGGCTGCATGGTGAGCACCCAGGAGCCCTGCGAATGCCCCTGCTTCACCCGCCAGACCAGCACCCTGCAGGCAATTGAGTGGCTGCTTCCCTTGGTTTTGCAGGTGTGACATTTGGCTATGAGGGACAGAAGCCCCTATTTAAGAACCTGGATTTTGGCATCGACATGGACTCCAGGAGTGAGTGGATGGGCAGCTCGGGGTGTGGGAAGGAGCCCGCGGCGCGGGTGCTGGGCCACTGTGCCTGACTCCCTGTCTTGCAGTCTGCATCGTGGGCCCTAATGGCGTGGGGAAGAGCACACTGCTCCTGCTGCTGACTGGCAAGCTGACGCCGGTGAGTCGGGGCGCCCGGGCGGGACGCTGGGGGAGCACACAGCTGGGCATCTGCCCGCACAGCGCAGACTCAGATCCAGATTGGCAGATTTCCCCGAGAGGAGCTGTGGATCTGCCTAGGGCAGAGTAGATGGTACTAGCATGGGTGCCACACCTTATTTTCTCATTGTAAAAAATGTATTTGAAATGCAAAGAGATCTTCCATCCACTGGTTCACCCCCAAATGCCTAGAGCAGCTGGGCAGAGCCAGTTGGTATCCAGGAGCCTGGACCTCCAACCGTGTGGCCTCTATAGGCGGCAGGAGTCACCCGCCTCCCAGGGTGCACATTACAAGCTGAATTGGTAGAAGAGGCAGGGGTCGAACCAGGCACTTGATGTGGGGTGCAGTGGTTTAACCACTACACCAGACTTCCCCTACATAACTCCAGCCACCATGTTTTGGTTTTGCAAAAGTGCATGTGCACTGTAGAATGATTAGAGATTGCATAAGCCAAGAGAACAATCTAGAGGAGTCAGTAAGTATGTTTTAGTGGATCATTCTTTTTCTTATGATGCATTTTCAGAGAGAATGAGTTATCATCTGAATTGTTTTATAGCCAGACTTTTCCAGGCCTAGACAATATAATTTTCCATACTAATAATCGTATGCTTGATTTCACCTTATATGATCTACAATAAGTTTTTATTATTGTTATTATTATTTACTTGCTTACTTGAACTGTATAGTGACACAGGAAGACATCTTGTAATTGCTGGTTCATTCCCCAAATGGTTAAAACTGCTGGGTTGGGGCCAGTTCAAAGTCAGGAATTAGGAACTTAATTCATCTTGGTCTCTGGTGAATGACAGGGACCCAGGCAGTTGGCCATCATCCACTATTTTCCCAGGTGCATTTGCAGGAAACTGGGTTGGAAACGCAGCAGTTGGGACATTTAACTTGCTGTGCCAGGACACTGTCCCTACCGTAGCTTACTTGATGTAAAACTTTTGGAGTTGCTTTTAGGGCTTGTACCATTGCCATGTGTCCTGTAGAGAGGCTAAATCCATTTCTCCTCCTTCAGCAGGATTTTGAGAGGGCCTTTTCTGATACCCACTGAGAGTAGGTCTTTATAAATGTGGGTTAGGCACTCCTCCCCGCCACATTTGAGGTAGAACCCTTCCCGGGTGCTGTTCCTGAGCCATGCTGCTCTCCTAGTTGCCCGGGTATGGCTGCGTCAAGGAGAAAGTCCCTGTTGTCTTTCTCCTGTGTTCCTGGTCCAGCTCTTGTGCTTGTTTCCCCTTCTGAGAAGTTGGGGTTTGAAGCAGTGGCCCCCATTCCTTCTCTGACCATTTGCATTGTCCTTGCAGACGAATGGGGAAATGAGAAAGAACCATCGGCTGGTAAGTTGACTTTGGGGGCTCTAATGGATAAACACATGGCAGGGGAAGTATCCCCTTCACTGACTATGCCTCCCCACCTCTGTGTGGCAGAAAATTGGCTTCTTCAACCAGCAGTATGCGGAGCAGCTGCACATGGAGGAGACTCCCACGGAGTACCTGCAACGTAGCTTCAACCTGCCCTACCAGGATGCCCGCAAGTGCCTGGGTCGCTTTGGCCTGGAGAGTCATGCCCACACCATCCAGATCTGCAAACTCTCTGGTACCGTGCTAGGGCCCCGGGAGGCTGCCCTCCTCCTCACGGCTCAGGATGACATGCGATCTAGAGGCAGGAAAGGGCCAGGGGTGGAGCAGGGGATCTCAGCACAGTCCCAGGCATGTGGGCAGGTGCCGGAGGCCAGTTCCAGCCGAGTTTGGAAATCGAGAAGGGTGCGTGAAATAGGCATAGAGAGAAAAGAAACATCACTACAATTTTAGGATTGTAATGGACAATGCAAGGAAGCTGTCCTCTTTATTTATACAGAAGCAGTCACAAGCTCTGGCACCGACCTTTTACATCATGGTGATATATCCACTTGACTGCAGAGTGTGGCCCTGAGCAGTACAGTCACAAAGTTTTCTTTAGGGGCAGTTTCACACAGCTTTAAGGGGGCACAACTTACAACAGGTGAGTGAGGAAGGATTAAGCATTCCTTGCTTATCTCGGCTTGCCAGCACCTGCCTTCTCTCCTCAGGTCTGGGCTCTAACCTCGGCGCCACCTATGACAACCAGACCCCGATCTTGAATTATCTGTGGGTTAATAAATCTGGGGCCTTGGTTTATGGGGATTGGGGCCATTGACACTAGTTGGCCATTAGGCCTGCAAGCTCACACAGTTTGTTAGCTAAGCAAGTAAAGCAGGAGTTATAAAGGCAAAAAGAATTGCAGTTAGCAATGAACCATGTTTACTCATTTTTGTTTCAACTCCACAGTGGACAAGTGGTGCTTCCAAAGATAATTCTGCAAATTGTTCCACCTTAAGGCAGAGCATTACCCATTCTGTCTCAGTAGACAACTCATTAATCAGTAGTATACTCCTACAATCCTCATTCTACAGCTTATCAGAGGAGAAAATATATCACAGAGGGGAAAAGATAAAAGATCAGAAACAAAAAAAACTGCAAACATACATTCCCACTAAACCCTCAATTAACCCTAAGTTAGTTTGAAAGGGTGTATTGCAATGTTAGTACAGACATTCTTGAGCTCTTCCAGCCAAAGGGCCATAAGAGCAACTGAGACAACACACAGTGTTAAAGGCCGGTTCACCAAGACGTTATCAGCAACATTAACTCCCAAGCTCACGTTGGTTGTGAAAACCATCTCTTGGTTGTAAAAACCATCTCGCAGGGGCAAACAACAATGCCTCAACAGAACACAGAATTCTTAGCGGGGTGGTCGGTGTCCTTGCAGAGGGAGGTGGAACTGCATTCAGGTGGTTGTAGAGACATCTACTAGGCCTTGCATGCAGCGGGAAGCTCCCCGGGCCCTTCCAAACAGGGAAGCTCTACTCTTCACACCTTCATGTCGTCCACACCTACTGCACAGACCCCAGCAGGCAGGGTGGCTTCGGTGCCTGGCAGCAGGTGTGACGGACTCCTCTTTGCCGCAGGTGGGCAGAAGGCCCGGGTGGTGTTTGCAGAGCTGGCCTGTCGGGAGCCTGATGTCCTCATCTTGGTGAGCAGCCTGAGCCGTTGGGGGAGGACAGAGGTAGCTGCAGCTGCAAATACGAGCCAGGGCTCAGTCGTGTGCTTCCTTCTCTGTAGGATGAGCCCACCAATAACCTGGACATAGAGTCTATTGATGCTCTGGGCGAGGCCATCAATGAGTACCAGGGTGGTAAGTCGGCTTGGAGCGTTCCCCCTCACCCCAAGGCCTGGTCTCCCCTCGGGGACCAAGTTGTGGCGTCCTTCAGCTGGGTTCTCTCTCCATTCCTGTTCCAACTCGACTTTTTCTCGGTAGCTGTGATTGTCGTCAGCCACGATGCCCGCCTCATCACAGAAACCAACTGCCAGCTGTGGGTGGTGGAGGAGCAGAGCGTGAGCCAAATCGACGGGGACTTTGAGGACTACAAGCGGGAGGTGCTGGAGGCCCTGGGTGAAGTCATGGTCAACCGGCCGCGCGAGTGAGCCTGCCGAGGGAGCTGAGCTGGCAGCGAGCTGAGAGGCAGGCAAGCCAGTGAGGCTGGAAGCCCCCCGCCACCTCCCTGTCCGCTCGGAAGCCGCCTCAGCCTGCAGCCCACGCAGCAGCGCCTTGGCACCCATTCAGTGTTGCCTCAGTAGGATCAGGACACACTTGGATTGCCACTTCTCTCCCTGGAAGCCTTGTCTGGTTCACTGCAGAAAGCTGCCCTGGCCTTGTCCTCGGCAGCCTTCTGTTGGGGGTCTCAGCCAGCCATGGCCACCCTCACAGTCAGGCCGGTTGCCATGGTCACCGAGTGAGGCTCTCCTTTCCTGCTGGAGCTGCAGCTGATGTGATACACACAGCCCCCGGAGCTCCGGGTCGGAGGCTGCTGTCGGACACCTGCTCTAGGCGGGCACCTGCAGCCGCTTGTCTCCAGGTTCCTGGGAGCAGGAAAGGAATGCTGCTGGACCGAACTCGCCTTCACAGGGAAAGAAAGAAAAGGAATTGCTGCCACCCTCTCATTGTTTGGAACTTCCTGGAAGTTGGCACTGGCTGTGGTCTGAGCTTGCTTTCCTTGGCGCTCTAGCAGGCGGAGTACTGGTCCTCTTGGTCCTTACTAAGTCAGCTGGCACCGGGCACAGGTCTTTGCAGTGTGCAGGGAGAGGAAACCACCGGGTGCGGGTTGCGTTAGTGAATAAAGATTGGAGAAGCACGGCCTGCACGTGCAGTGTCATGTAGTTACTTGCCGTATCCATCTCAGCTGTCATGAGGCTGAAGACAGACAAGATTGTCCAGGGCTCTTTTCTTTTTCAGGATCAGTTGAAGGAGGGTGAGCCTTGGAAAGTAGTGATTTGAGTAATCAAGGAGCAACTGAGGCTGAACAAAAATGCTGCTTGCCAGTTAATGGGAATACAAGGGCTGTGTGAGAGTCCAGACAGCAGTAGGCCTTGGGGAACTGTGGGGGTTGGGGGGAACCCTGAGGACAGAGGAGGCTACCCTTGTGCAGCCAGAGATGCGTGTACTCCAGGTTCCCAAGGCTGTCGAGCACTGGGAGCAGCAGCAGCGCCTGGCGGCAGGGTGTTTTGTATAGGTGAGAGGAATGCAAGCCCATATCCATATAGGCCTCTGGGTGGGGAAGGAGGGACAGGTGTGCAGGGAGGTGAGTAGAACAAATGTTTAGTCTTTGTTTTACTTCCTCTGTCTGCAGGGGAGGGTCGGGGGAGAGTGCGCAGCAGCCCCTGGGGCTGAGGGGCACTCATTTGGTGATGCTTAGAAAGCTCAATAGGGGGAAGAGCGTTCTGAGCGTGTTACTTGAATGGCTTCAGTTACCTTGAGACATTGTTGGTTCCATTGTTCCAGAGTTGAGAAAATCTTTCCAAGGTCTACTAGTTGACAAAGTCCACCTCACTGCATCTACGCACAAGGACATGCTGCAAAGCTTTGCCAGGAGAGTTGTCTGACCCGTCCTGCTTTCTGTCCTCTGACGTGACAGTCCTAGATGGGCTGACCTTGTGTGCAGCTGGACATGTTGCCCACAGCACAGGCATCAGCAACTGGGGCAGTCCAGTGCCAGTACATGCATTCCAAGGTTGGACTACACGATGGGTCCAAGGTTGTAGCTGGGGAGTCCTCCCAAGAAACCTTGCCTGGGTTGACCTCAGATTCAATTCTTGTGTGCCATCCAGTGCAGAATCAGGTTTGGTTGCTCACCTGCACCAACCAGTGCACAGATAGGTAGGTGCAACTGCCTAGTCTGTTCAGCCTTAGCCCATTATCAAACTGAGAGATGCTGCAGCCCAGCCAGCCATAGATCCAGTCCTATGGGTTCCAGGGCCTAGTTGTGGTGACCCCCAATAACAGGGCCCACTCCCAGACTAGGTTTTTGCACATGCCAGCCTTTGCTGCGGCCCAGCCCAGCCCACATGGCATCCAGTGATGGGTGCTCATGCATACAGCTTAACGCATATGCAAACAGGCGTCACACCCTTGTGCAGTGCGACCTGCCTGCAGCCTGGTGCTTTTGTGCTCATCAGCGATGGGTACAGCCCAGCAAGGGAGTTCCCACAGTTCCCCCTCCAGGCATGTTCCCACCCTGGGTCTTGTGCCTGCCAGGGGGTACTGGAATCTAGTCTGGCATAACTTCTACTCACTCCAGCACTTGGCTAGCTGGTGTTGCAGCCTCGCTCATCTGGCCTGCACCATTCTGGCTGTCATGCACACCAGCAGGTAAGGCAGCCTAGCCCTTCCTGACGCAGCTCTGCTGTGACCTGCTGGGTGCTATGGCCTAGCCTGTCCTACACCCATTCCAGCATTCACAAGCACCAGTGAGTGCTAGAGCCCAAGCCAGTCTGGCCTGCCTGTACACAGACCAACGGGTGCCGCAGCCTTGCCTGGGGCCTGGCCTGCCCCCAGTCCCTCCTCCCATGTTCCTCAGAGGAGCTGCCAAGTAGCGGGGAGTTCCCCCAAGCTCCCCCTAGCAGACCTACCCCCAGCCTGTCTAATGCATGCCAGCGGAGGTAGCAGCCCTGCCTGGCATAGTCTTCCCTCGGGCCTGGTCCCTGCATACCCCAGTGGGTGCTGCAGCCGCTGCGAGTGTTAGGTGGATTCCTGTGACGTAAGTTCTGTGGTCTAGCCTGGCTCAGACCCATCACTGCCCCTAGCTTTCCACATAAGTCATTCGTGCTGTAGTCCCATAGAGGTGAACCCAAAATTCCCTTAAATTTTTTTTCCCTAGGGCCTGGTGCAATAGTGTATCAGCTAAAGTCCTCACCTTGAACACACTGGGATCCCATATGGGCACTGGTTCTAATCTCAGCAGCCCAATTTCCCATCCAGCTCACTTTCTTTTTTTTTTTTTTTTTTATTTAATTTTGACAATCCTTACAAATTTAATTGGGGTAAAAAAGGGTCAAGGTCTAAAGGGGGATATAGAGGAAGAAGCCCCACCCAGTCTCCCGCCCACCCCAAGTCCCGGGTGTGGGGCGCGCTCCGAGATACTCGATCAAGTGGTTCCAATAGTTCACCATTCATGGGTCGTTGCCAGTCTCGCCACCCCAATCATGATGTGGTCATTGAAGAGTTCATTGTTTGACACAGTCCCTTCTAGGGTCTCCGTTTGCCCAGTCTCTGCTGCCAACAGATGGCTGAGGTTGTTGCTTGATTTGTCCTGTCTTTCCCTGGTTAGGACTCCGAGTCCGGTGTCTCGAATGGGAAGATCCTCGAAGAAATTTTGAGGTATTCCCAGTCCAGATTCCTGCTGTTTTAGTAGCATAGGGCCCGTCACAGTCCACTGCCCCGGTCAGCTGGCGGCTGCAGTTGCTGGGCCGGTTCTGTCTCCACCCGTGTCCTCTTGCAGTCCAGCTCACTTTCAAGGCAAGGACTTTATTCGCTAGGCCACTGCCCCAGGCCCACTGATCCACTTCTGATCCAGCTGGATTGGCTGGGAGTGAAACCACTGCCCATACAGGATGCCAGTGCCCCAGGGAGGAGGAGCAGCCTTCCTAGATGTTTCACCTTTTAGCTTGGTCCTTAAATACCACCCTCTCAGACCACGATCTTCCAGTGCACAGAACAACAGCAGACTGACCTCAGCGACCCACAAGACTGGGCCCAGGGAACCTGAAACTAGCCCTGTTGCCTTCTGATTGGGACCCGGGCCTGTGAAGTGTAGGAGGTTGCCGCCCTCTTGTGGTCAATACTGGAAATAACCGCACAGAAGTGAGAGATGCTCAGACTCAACTGTATGAGACTGCCAGGTGGTTGAGATGATTCTGATGAATGCTAGAAGATTGAAAGCCATAATTCTGGGGTCTAACAGCTAAAGTCCTCGCTTTGAACGCGCCTGAATCTCATATGGACGCCGGTTCTAATCCTGGCAGCCCAGCTTCCCATCCAGCTCCCTGCTTGTGGCCTGGGAAAGCAGTCAAGGACGGCCCAGGGCCTTGGGACCCTGCACCCAGAGGGAAACCCGGAAAAAGCTCCTGGCTCCTGGTTTCGAATCAGCTCGGCTCTAACCATTTGCAGCCACTTTGGGAGTGAATCAGCGGATGGAAAAATCTGTCCTTCTTTCTGTATACCTGACTTTCCAATAAATTAACAACAAACGAAATATAATTCTCAATGACAGTATCCCCTTCTTTGTATCTGCAACCTCCCACCTTTAGGGTTATGCACCCTAATTGCAGGTTTTAAGATGGAAATTCTCATTTGAAGTTTATCCCTCCATGTCCTGGTTTCCAAAATTTCACATCATGTCCTGTCATGCCTTTAACAAAATCAATTTTGTAATAAAGATTTATTTTTATTGGAATGGCGGATATACAGAGAGGAGAGACAGAAAGGAAGATCTTCCATCCGATGACTCACTCCCCAAGTGAGCGCAACGGGCCGATACTATGCCGATCCGAAGCCAGGAGCCTCTTCCGGGTCTCCCACGCGGGTGCAGGGTCCCAAAGCTTTGGGCCGTCCTCGACTGCTTTCCCAGGCCACAAGCAGGGAGCTGGATGGGAAGCGGGGCTGCCAGGATTAGAACCGGCGCCCATATGGGATCCCGGGCGTGCAAGGCGAGGACCTTAACCGCTGCGCCACCGCGCTGGGCCCAACTAAATCAATTTTTAAAACCTGAAAACAGCATTTCCCTTGTCTTCACTGAAATTGCCCCTTCATTTCTCTCCTTCTCCAGATACCTGGATTTTCCTTCTTCAGCCATTCTCCTATCCACCTGCCACTACAGTCTCACCTCTAAATGGTCTCACAAGAACAGAAGTTCCAAAGTAGAATCAATATGGCCATGTTTGTAAATGGCTTTTCCCCAAAACGCCCTTTTTCACTTTTTTACTTTGACCCACTGCTTCACTCCTCAGACGGCTGGGCCAGGCTAAAGCTCCTCCCACATGGGTGCAGAAGCTCAAGTTTTTGAGGCATGTGCTAATTCCCACTTGGCACAGCAGCAAAGCTGGATTGGAAGTGCCAGCTTCACCTGCGGCACCACAGCCATGTTTTTCCTGCGTCTGTAGGTCACACTTGCCCCTCAGTGTGCCTTCACCAGTACTCACTACTCTGTGATTTAGCAAACACATGTTAACTCCAAAGGGCTGAGAAACAGAACAGCAGGTGAACAGGGTTTTTTGTTTTGTTCTGAAAAGTCCTGGCCTGGCCAGCACAATAATCAGCTAATCCCCCACCTGCAAGCACCAGCATCCCATACTGGCACCGATTCGTGCCCCTGCATGGGAACACTATAGCCTGGGAAAGCATTAGGTCAAGAGACCTGGGAGAAACTGATACCCCAGATGTTCTAGTCATTTGGGGAGTGGACCAGTGGAAAGATCTGCCTTCCTGATAAAAAGGCCCAGCATTGCAGCGTAGTAGCTAAAGTTTTTACTTTGCATGCGCTAGGATCTCATATGGGTGTAGATTTTGTGTCCCAGCTGCTTCATTTATGACTCAGCTCCCTATTTATGACCTGGGAAAGCAGCACAGGATGGCTCAAATCCTTGGGCTCCTGCACTCATGTGGGAGACCTGGAATAAGCTCCAAGTTTTGGATGATCCCAGCTCTGGGTCCTTGTGGTGATTTGGGGAATCAGTGGATGATCTATCTCTCCCTTTAAAATCTGTCTTCCAAATAAAAAATTCTCAAAAAGTCCTGGAAGTGGGAAGTTCACCTGCCAGTGAAATGGAGATGCCACACAGGAGTAGCAGGATTCAAGGTGC